ATGCCTTCTACACCATCCCCTCATACCATTGGGGCTCCTGGACGAAGACGACGAAACCGTGGGGCGCCGACTGGGGTTTTACAGGCAATGATGCCGATGGATTCACCTTCTTTACTGCCGCGAGGGGTGCACATGTTGAGGTCAGTGTCATGGACCCGGAGTGTTTGTATTCGCATACCCGGGATAAAACGATACTGGAATGTGAACCCTGTCGCGCTAAGCTTACACGTGCACAAGCATGTGGCACGTTGCATTGTGTGTGTGTGGGAGTTCGAGCTAGGGTAGGGGCAGCGTAGCAAGCGTTCGTGCTACATGCGTTCAAGCTGAACGGTCGAACCTTGAATCTTCCACTGTTTTTCCTCTTTGATGCTTTCGTAGAGAAGGGCTACTCTGTGCCCGAGCCTTGTGGACTGTGTAGTCGCAGTGTGTCTACTCGTTGAGCAATCGCAAAAAATCCTGTTTGTTATTAACGGTTCGTTTAAGTAGTCGGGTAACCTGGACATCACCAGTGCATCCATTTGTGTGAAACTGACCACACAAAATCTCTAATTTGTTTTTTCTGAAACTTGGACCAGGTATGCCTTGGACCCACGAAGCTGAAAGGGGTTGGACCGATTACTTCCATCACGTTCAACGGGCACTGCGTTCGGAACCACGACGCTCTCCGCAGGTTTACGGCTATCGGCGCGGAAGGTGATTTGACGGAGGTGAGTATCATGTAGGGTTGGTGTAGCGCTTGAAACAGCACCACCGTCCACCCGCTCCAACTCATGTTCAGAGGGCATGTGGAGAAGTCTGGATGGTGAGCACGTCGGGAAATACGGGTTTCACTTGACTTGGTATGTCTGGTTTCGCGAAGGCCGTGCTGTGTCGCCGACGTCAAATATAGTCTCAATCGCTCAAACACTCCATTGTGTACGTGGAATTTTCTGCTCTAGCTTTATAAAATTAGAAATAGTGCCTCTAAAACGTGCGGGGGTTATTGTAGGTCACAATATTTACCGGCGCCGATGATGGTGTGTGTTGTATTCCCTTCGTTTTCTTCGTTTACGTTTGCAGCTTCTCAACGTGGTGTGGCACACGCTTCCTTGCCAAGGCGTCTCTCAGCAGCATGTCCGGGAGGACGCCAATATGCCAGCAGGGGCCGCCGACGTTTTCCCGAGCCTAGTCCGCCAGGCGCAATGGAACCTCGAGAGTAATCCGACTTTGCCTTTTGGAGAGCGGGGGAGATGGCAGAACGCTTTTGTCGAGGGCCTGTTGTCTGGCCCCTCTGGGGTTTCCGGGGTGTTGGGCACCGTCGGGGCTCACAGTGTCCCGGGTCACGGCGGGGTTGGAGGTCACAAGGTGTTTTGGGCGAAAGGATGTGTTGGAGTTGCCACTCCCTTCCAAGGCCTAAACTCGGTGCCCCGGTGTCAGGGGTGTAGAGATTTCGTGAGGGAGGCGTTGCGACCGCGGCTAGAGAATGCATCGAAGGCCGAGTCCCTCAAGTCGAGCAAGAACCTTTACATGACCAGCGCACAAAAGGTGGATGTGACGATCGTTTTGGCGCCTCAAAAAAACGGGTACCTAGGTGTGCCATTTTTTTTTTTTTGCACGCCAGTCGCCAACCATTATCTTCTTCTGAATTTCGCGATGCAGCAACGTCGAGCCATTCGCACGATTTAACCCGAAACGCAGGATCACAAGCTCTGGTCTACGGCAGCTGACCTGAATAGAGAGCGAAATGCCACGGCCCGGCTGCGTGAACGGATCGTTTCAATGAGGAAGGAGTGCGTTCGCGTTCCTGTGGAACAAGGGGAAGCTCTTCATAAGTTCCTTGTCGACGCCGAGACGAAGGAGGTGATACACTCGAGACTCCCTCAGGGAAGCGACCAGAGATATTTCTATGAGGTGGGCTGTTTTGTTTGGGATTTCAAGTGGTATTGGAGTCGTCTCGCCGAAGTTTCCAGGGTGCTTTGCTGATCGAAGTTGTTCTTTCAGACAGATTGGCCGGTTTATCTGGACGTCGAGAACTGCTATCTACGAGGTGGTTTAGAAATGATGGGAATACCTACGTCGTGTAGGCAAGGCGAAACACAGCCCACCTCGTGGCGGGTCGTGCAGTGAAACGTACGAATGGTTGCGGAAGAAAACAAAAGTTTGATTTAGGGGGGCTCATGTCCGTGAGTACTCATGTTTGCGTTAGAATAACTATGCAACAAAACGCTCCCACTCTCCGTGCTCACAGGATCAGGTGAAGTGGAACACGAGTCACGGCAAGGCCAAGGGGTTTCGATTCCACCCGGCTACGATGAGACTTGCCATCTACATCCAAGGGATTGCGGGGACTGCGGCGTACAACATGCTGATGAATGTCCTGCACCTGCCTAGCCCTGAACGCATCAAGCAGCTGCGACGGAACGCGGCTCCTCCTAGGACGGGTGTGCTGACCGAGAACATCCTGGTAAGACTTACGCTGAGTTCGACTTATGTTGTTCAAAAGAAGAGTGGAAATGGCCTCGGCTCGATGTGTTGTATGCATAGGTTGATCATTTTTTTTTCGTTATTCCATTTGTCGGCACTGCATTCGCCTCCGAGGATTGTGGGTTAGATGCAATTGTTATCTAACTCTACCCCTTACTCCCGTTGTGTCCAGAAATACGGGAAGCTCGCGGCCACGCAAGACGCTGACAAGGTCGACCTGATGGGGGTCTTGACGTGGGACCTCATGCACCTCAACAAGAGCGGTTTTAGTTTCACACCCAATGGGGGGGGGTTCACGGGCCTCGTGGACGAGACGACGTTCTTCAACCCCATCTACAAGCACGAGGGGGGGGTTGTAAGGGAAGTAGAGCCAACTCTGGAAAAGTTGTGGCCACGCAATACGTCGAGGTAGGGAACCAGATATCTCCCGGTCGGGTTTAGTGTAATCGTGCTGTGTCGAATTCGTACCGGGTGTCGAGTTCACAGACTGAGTTTGGCTTCGTATCGTTGCCCGATCCGGTGACGCGCGACGCATCTGCCTTCGCGACTCTTGCCTTCATCGTTCTTGATGGAAGGGGACAGCAGCGGCTCAGGGGGATGTGCAGCGGAGTGCGAGCTCGAGGATAGCCCATTGCAAGACACCAACGGATGCGTTCAGACTCCCGCGCGCTGCGAGTGACGGCGAATCTCATGTCTTCTCGGTGTCAACAACGACAGGAAAACATCGTGTGATCGTCATCATCCGATTTGAAGAAGTACACAACAAGACCACACCTATCGTCAGCTGTACGGGGAAAGCGTGCAAATCGTGAGTGGTTCGATAGGCTCCATGTATGGTGCATGTTTTTGTTGGTGAAAACGTTTGTCATTGATCATGGATATTACTCCTGGGGCTCCACGGGTGTACCTTGAACGGTTAGTGAATGCCGTTGCCACCCAAAACAATATTCAGAGGTCGGTTGGGGCAGTAATGGCGAACTTGAAGCTTTAGTCTCCGACAGATCTTCGTACTTGTTTGGGCACAAGGGTGAGCGTGGGTATTTGGAGATTTCGCGGTATGCTATGCGGGTTTTATGATTCACCCCTAAGAGTCCTGGCGCCGTCCGAGAGGTACTAGGCAATAACGGAATCGTTCTGGTGTTCGGCGTCGTATCGTTGCATGCTCCGTCACGCAGGGTCGGCGGTGCATCAGGCTCTTCTAGACGGGGAAGACATCGCTGTCGATGGCGTGTGTGAGCACGCTCACGTCGTCCTCCAAGACGGCCGGACCATTGCGGACAACATCCCGGCAGCTGAGCACGTGACCTTCGACCCTCCAGGGGTAGTTGAGCAGGCCAAAGCAGTAGCAGCGAGCGGTCACATGGGTGCCAAGGACGCGAGGGAGATAAAAACTGTGGCCGACGCTGCTACCGGCTCTGGCGTGCCGCTCGTGGTCCGCCTGGGAAACACGGAAACGTTTGCGGTGCGCCACGTTAGCCGATCTGTGCCTGGCAGCTGGGCGCACGTGCAGACTACAGATATCGCGCGCCCGGCAGGATCCAGCCCGCAACAATCAGCCCGAAGGAGAAGCATGGAAAACATCAAGATCCAATGCAAGGTGGATGTCGCTTTTGTGGATTCCGCATTTTGTGTGGTACCCTGCCGGGTACTCCAAGTATACTGCAAATAACATGTGTCGAAATAGCAGCCTAGTCAAGAGCACACAATAAGAGACCCGACATCGTACCCTCCCCCCTCCTCCCCGAAGGTCAGAAAAATATAGAATTTGTCTTCATTCGAAGTAAGACAAATAGAGAGGACAACTCTCATGTGCTTTACGAGACTTTGGGTACAGGTTTCAGGTGGCGGTGCTCTCTATGGATGCAGTATGATGAACTCAACAGACTATCTGTGAGGATTTCGGGGGGGTCGCAGACGCGTGTTCTCGTCCGCGTTCCCTCTCCCTTTGAGAGAGAGGTCGAAAATTAATTTCCGGGAAGGTCCTTGTCAACAATTGTGCATTGACCGGCGTGTTTGCGTTTGATTTTTCCGGAAACATGGAGGCAAATAGTGGAGCTGCTTGTAGCGTGGCGCACTCCAAGCCGGAAGGACAGAAGAAATGACAACACACCTTGGTGGTCGGGCTTGGCGTTTTTGGCGACCATTTCAAGAACAGCATGGGTGTGCATGGTGGCGGGAATGGGGAGGGTGGAAGAAGCGTGGAGGTTGGCACTGGGAGAGCAGAGTGGAACGTGGGGGGTGAGCGGAAGACGAGCTTTTCTCGGAAAATGAAGCAGCTGATGAAGATCATCGGTGTGTTAAGGTTCCCCGTCAACCCCAAGCACCATCTATCAGCAGGAGACCGCCAGGTTCTGGTCGAGGGCAGCGACATCCCTTGTCACGAGAACGTGTGTGCAGCATGCCTTCGAGACTACGTCGTTTTGGACAGACAAGAAGCGATAGCTGTAAGACAGGTGCGCCATTCCCCCCTCGTTGCCACAGTTTTTTTTTTGCAGTGTGCATGGGGCATTTGATAGGGTGGACGGCAGTTCGAAGCAGGTTAATAGGCAGTCGGGTAACGCATACCAGTAGTGCGAAAGATTTGCGCACTTCCAAAATCCTAGGTCAAGTAGTTCTCATGTTCCAACCGCAAGAGCCACAGAATATAGGTAAAGGAACTGATGTACAACAGATGGGGTCTATTTCTGTGCAAATTAGCTGTCATGCGAATGAATCTTGCGTGTCAGAATTGAGTAAATAGTGTGGGATTGGACTTTGGCTTTGCAATTGCGACCCTACTCTTGTCTCTCAGGACAAGTACATTGTGGACATAGTAATCGAGAACAAGGGGTGTACATTTTGCCGCAACGTGCGAGGGGTGCCGAGCGACGAGTGGCAACAACACGGGTACTTCGTATTCGGAGAGGCAGCTGTCCACATCGAGTTGCTACTGGAGGTTAGGGCGCTCGTTGACGGTGGCACACCCATCACGACAGCATGGCGAGGTCTCTTGCAGCACCTGGAAACCGATTTGATATGGATGGGAGAACCAAACTGGCAACAAGGTGAATACAGGGAGGTATGCGAGTTCCTCAGTTTAGAGTCCTGGAGGACGGGTCAAGCAGTGCTGTAGCATGGTCGGGTTTCGAACATCACCTCCTCTGTACACCATGCCCACCTTTTTCTAATATTTGGTTCGGTCCACGACCCCTTGTTGAGTCCCCGTGTCCAGGAATCTGTTTCGATGTGAATAAACGTAATGCTCTGGCACCCAAGCGTGACGCGGTTCGTCTCAGAAGGGCTGAAGAAACCAAGGCTGACGACTTTCATTGTCTTGTGTTTGCTGGTATGTTAGCTAGGCCCGACGTGTGTAGAGAGTTCGATATTGTATATTTCAAATGTAACTGTCTTCCTTAAATTCGACTTCCCTGAACCTGAACGGGCTGGATGGCACTTGCCTCTGTAACGACCCCTCCTCTGGAATCGGATGGAATCGGATGCCTTGTGTTCGTTTTTCTCCTCCTGTTTTTCCGCTGCAAGGGTTTCGACGGGGATGGACGGTCTGACCCGATCACTGCTAGAAGTCTACCTCGCTTTCGAGGCTCTCACGGATCATCGGTTCGAGTTTTCCAGCATAGCCGAGTGATCGATCCCCATTCCCGACTAGGTCCGGCCACTCCCGTCTTGGAACATGGTACACTATTTTGCCGTTGCCTTCATCATCCCGGTTCACCCGTCGTCTGTGGCTGCCGTGCGTGGTTGCAGTTTTTTCCGATCCTTCTCATCACAGATTTGATGTGCCGTTTAGGACCAACCGTCCACAGTAGGGCGCCTGGTGTGATCGAGAATGAAGGTGCACTCCCGCGGGATGGCGCCGGCAACGTCGATATCCCTTCCCTGGCGACGGAAGGGGTACATGTTGGCGGCAGCGGGAATGGGCTTGGGAAGCCACAGGCAGAGGCAAAATGCACCCAAGACAACGTGTACAACGTGCTGCGCGACGCGGGACTCAACCCACGGGTTCTGCGTGGCACCGACCTCGCTGCCCTCATCGACCTGTTTGCGAGGGAAGGGTGTAATGGTCTTTACGGGAAGTCTTTCGCTACCCTTGCTAGGAACCTTCTACGTTCGTTGCACGGCCGGAGCCGGTACTCCGTTGATCTCATGGAGGTTGTAGCAGTGCTCCACGCGCGTGTGAGCGTGATCGTGAGGATGCTCGAAACGGAAGAAAGCGAGGAGGAGGTGGACGCGCTCGTGCCATACAGGGATGGGCTGGGGCATCTGAAGGCGTACAGAGATTTTTCCGCCCATGTGCTCAAGGTAGCGGGGGGTTCGATACTGAGCAAGTACCAGCACTGCCTCCGTTCTACGAGAAACTCCCACCCCCCCAAATGGGGGAATTCCTTTCCGTGCACTTCGTGCCGGAGATGGATCAGCAGTACGTTGATGTCCGGGCAGATGATGGACAAATGGACGCGGTGATGTTGCAGTACTCAGAGGTGTGTGCACTCGGGTCCGTGTTGTAGATTGCTAGAATCCCGTCGTCCCTGTCCCTGTCAGATATCTGTATGACCAGTACATGATGATCAAGTAAACCGTTAATATCACCCGGTGCGTGTCGGCGTTCCCCCGCAGGAGAAGGAGATATACATCGCCGAAAAGCTCGGGCCGGAAGACGACGAAAAGAAGAGTATCGCAGGCAAGCGGTTTACTACCTTCCTTGCGGTGCCATGCCGCCCGACTTTAACGCCCCGTCAACAACTGGCCATGAATGTGTTTGGATGTTTGTGCTGAGAAACACATCATAACCATGTGTTTATCGCTTCTTCTTGTTTGTGCGTGCATACAAGTTCAAACATTTGCCCCCTTCGTTGAGTGCGTCAACACCCTAAAAAGGTCGCCCCCTCCCCACCTCCTGTTCTCCCATTTGTTGTTCAGTTCAAGCTCTGCGCTCCGGGTCAGCATTTGGTGCGGCAGTACACTGTCCGAAGTTCATTCAGATTTGGTGTTCGAACGGCAACCCCGGCGAAAGCGCGGACAAGGACGGAAAGGTTGCTGGGTTTTCTGTCTGCTTCAACATCCAAGCTGACGACACGCCGAAAGAGCGTGTTCCCCACCCCTACAACGGGGAGAAGACCGGACCGTATTTTGCGCCTGATCACCTTCACGACTTTAATCACGGCTCCGACTGCCGCGATAAATACGGCCAGCTTAATACTTGCAGTCAGTTGGCAGAAGTCAACTGTAACGTACACGAACAAAATCACGCGAAGAAGAAGTTTTTGGGGATGATCAATACCATGGGGTTCGACCGGTTTTCCTTCATGGTAACGCTCGTCAATGAGATCGAGAATGAGGCCATCAACCACCGTACTCTACAGGTGTTAGTCGACTCCGTACGTCAACATAGAAGCAGTCGAATAGCTGTTTGTA